CAACTAAAATTATTCGAAAATGTTGCATTCATTAACTCTCTTCTTCATTAACCTCCGATTTCATCGGCATGTAGGGTATTGGATGATATTTTCGTTTATCGTTTATGAGTACTTCATCAAATAATAAAATATGAATGCTATGGAAACGAATGAAGTTAGTTGAATTATTGATTTGTATAAGTGTATTTTATGAATTCGTGAGCAAAATGTACCCGTGACCGATATTTCCAAGGATGTTGTAGATATTACGTTTATTGTGCTATGAAGTTCAAGAGGATTATGTGTGAAATGTTAAATGAATATTTTATATTATTATGTTTGGTCAGGTGCTAGTTTGTTCCCTCTCTTATTTATGGAGATACACAGGAACTGAAGGAAAATTTTTAAAACGTCCCAAATAGCGATGCCTGTGCGAAAGTGGAGATTTTTGTTGGATTTAAACCGACCAAGAATATTCATATCACAAGGATGCCGTTCTCCAAATGTGTAATTCGAGATGTATAAAGTTGTACCTCAAAGCAATGCGCACCTGTAGTTTACCGACTATTTCTGACACTTCTCGTTAAAATATCTATAGAATAGTTTCTTTTCTGTTTCAGACTGAGGTTGCTTATGATGTTTGGTCGTCCAGTCAGGTTGATAACTCGGTTCTACATAGAATCTAGCTGCCTCAGGGTATGTTAGAGACCAAAACTCCATAGATATGAGAAATATTCCAAAGAAAGTATAATCTGAGATTTATAAAGCATTGATAATTGCTAAGGTGTGTGCAACATTCTAGTTCGCAATAATGTTTCAATTCTCTGGGAAACTGCCTCTGCCATTTTAGTAACTTGATTATGCCATGATATAATTTTCCGATTCAATATCAAACTAATCAATCGATGCAGCTACCGGAATTATTTGCCCTGACATTATTCACATTCATAATTTCATAGGGAACCGATTCTGGGTTTTCGTATTATGAAATTCTAATTCATTTTTGAAGCCCCTAACCGATATTTTCTCCAGATATTCATTGAAATATATAACTTCTTGTCGAAGAAGATTTGCATTGGCAGCTGATGTTCAAGGGTCTAACTTGAAAGAATAGACAAGTGTGACTATCAAAATATTGAATTTCTTGATAGTTGACGTATAATTGAAAAAGATTAGGAGACAAAATGAGAACTCTCGATGACTATTTCATAAGAAACGGTCTTTGGGAGAACTGCAGACCTACGAACAAAGTCGATCTATACAAACCAAAATATCGAAGCTTCATTATCAAATGCCAAAAATCAGTCCTGGGTCTTGGAAATATCATGCGCGAAGCACGAGATTGTCCATGTTTCTCGTTTGCATCGTTCAAAAAGTGGCTGATATACAAGTATGTAATAAGGTTGCCTGTTGATGTTTTGCTTCCAGAAACCATATTTATGATCGCTGAAAATGTTGGATCATTACAAATATTTGAGAATGTGTTGACTGATAGCTTTCTTTGATAGTAAAGCAACTGGTCTAGTTATTTGGAAAATATTTGTCTTTTTTTAGGTATAGGTTGAACGGTATTCCAATAATACGAAAAAAACCTATTTTTGTAAGGACGATTGCAGAATGTGAAAAACTCAAATAGGACATCAAAATTGTAAAACAGGGGTTGATTATCAGAAGAGATGATTATTTAAATATTCCGAAAATTTCAAAAACTCTAATCAGGAGTACCTAATAACCGAAATAGCTCTTTGGTAAATAATTAGTTATCGGAAATAATTGAACTACGTGAAGAAGTAACAGGAACTTGATGAATTCGGTAAAATAATGGAAGTTTTTGATTGATATCATCACGATATGCTCTTAGCTCAAACGAATCTGTGATAGAAACAGTATAATATGTATCAGTTTTCTAAAAGGGATTAGTTTATAGGAGATAGGTTTACTGAAAATCTCGCATGGAACAATAAATATATCTGCCGTGACATTTGCTCTCAGACTACTGTTTGTTTATATGTGTAGATACATTATGTTGTTACATTATCCAGTTCCAAGTATATTTGAAAATGATATATTGAAGGCTGATGAAACCACTTTCCAATCGTACAAGATAATCTGGCAAGTTACGAGGCAGTAAAAGGATTATCTTAAATAATAACTTGTACTCTTTCCAATATTTCGTTGTAAATCACTACCAAAACTATTCACATACATTATAAAGTCCTACTCATTATGGAAAAAAAGTGATGATAAAGACCGAAATATACATACCCTTTGTAACTCATTCATCCTTGTCTTAAGTTTGCCGTATTCCCACAAGTCTACTCCAAACTGCAATGCCCAGTTTTTCACCCTGAAAAAGAAATTGTAAGTTATTTCATTTAAAGGATATATTTATCATTCAGAAAAATATATCAAATGGCCATTTCTATAACCTATATTTTGTTCATCAACAATGATGTTTCAGAAATTTCTTCTCGTGAGATTTCCTGTCAGACGTAAATCAGTAATTTTTGGGAAAGAAAGTTTTTGGCTTTTTACTACTCCATCTGACACAAAAAAATGGATGAGAGAATCTTCCAAAGAAAGGAAGGAAGTAATCAATTTGAAAATAAGTAACTCTATACATGAATGTGTAGATCATGCAAAGAAGTAACTTTCAGACACAAACTGAAAGAAAGTCCTCCTGAAACATTAGAACTGTATATTTCCAAAGAATATTGATTTATAATAACAAAATGGCAGAGCTACTGAAAATATAATTTTATTACTTCATTTTGACCTTTCTTGGAGTATTTTTACTTTCGAATATATGAAAAAAAATCAAGAACTCTAATGAAGTACTGCATGGTCGGTCGGTAGCCGGGCGATTCGACGTGGGTGCTTTGTGTGATGGGTGATGTGGGTGATGTGTGAGTCGAAGGTTCACGCCCCAGGCTGAACGCCAGATTTTCACTTGCTATCGTCCAATTCGTGTTAGGAATCACACATTAGAAGGTAAGACCCCGTTAGTCCTTAGCTCGCACAAGTTTCGACTTCTGAGAGTTGTCGCTCGTAGGGGAGCGATAGCTGGTTAACGGAAAAAAATATTTTAAACATATTTTTAAACATACATAGGTTGGGTCCAAAGTGAGTGTGTCTATTCAACCCTCCACCGCAAAAAGCAAGGGTTTATGGTGACTCACACCTATTCACACTCGACCAAATAAACCCAGCCTCTCAACGAAGCCGATTAGTTTGTGTGGTGAGTGGTCCTTCAGATCAGATGCTAAGAGTAGCGAACTCTTAAAACCTGATTCGGTCCCCAGCGGGGCAGGCACAAGGTATGTGCTCTGCTGTTTCGTCATTTTGCAAACAGAGGCGACACACACTGTCTTCCGACAGTCCGAGTCTCTGCATATAATGATTCAAATGACAGTGACCTGTAAGAAGGCCTGTTAGACATCTACTGTAGTCCAACAACTGGTTGGTATCAAGTTTCTAAGGGTGAATAAACGCCTTGGAGTGAGCCAATCCTGGAAGATTCTGCCAGAAGTTCATAAATCTTCTTGCCATCCAGGTGTTCAATGTTGGTTTGGCAAAGCCTAAAGCGATGCCAATGACAGGTTTTGATCTGATGAAGCTGCTTGCAGCACCCTTCTTTGCAAGGGAGTCAGCATACTGGCCTTCCAGGCCAGTATGGCCAGGAATCAACACCAGAGACTATCTGTTAAGTCTTCCTATCGAGGAGAGCCTTTTTTGGCAGTTTGCTACCAATTTAGACGTTGCTCGGCGGGAGCTAAGAGCTTCCAACGCCGTTTGACTGTCCGAGAATATTTTTATCGACTTGTGTATGAGGTTGGATTCTTCCAATCTCTCCGCATACTGAAATACTGCCGCTTGAAACACAGTCGCATAGGATCCTAGACAGGTTGATATATCTGTCCTGATGTCCTGGGTCTGTGACTGAAAACACCTGCACCAGAACCGGAAGGTGTTTTTGATCCATTTGTGAAACAACAACTATATTCTCTTAATACTTCTTTCTCATGGAGGATCGGGAACAGTACTTCATAAGATAATTCGTAGTTGACAGTTGGAGGCATAAAGTCAGAGGTCATTTCCAGTATGATGTGACTTCCAGTATCAACCAACAGTCTGTTGCACTCTGCATTAAATTGATTTGTGCGATTGGCCAATGTGCACAAGTCTGAATGCAGTCCATCTAGCCTCTCCAGAAAAATATGGAGAGGACGTAGACCTAGAAGGATCTCCATGGCCGTTGACGATATGGTACTTATGGCACCACTAATAGCCAGAAAAGCCTGTCTCTGTAAACCAGAGAGCTTCGCCTGGGCCGTTTTCTGTAAAGCCTTCGGCCACTAGGCAAGTGCACCATAAGTGATCATTGGTCTGACAATCATCACATAAATCCAATGGATTTGTGTGGGACCTAAACCCCAAGTTTAACCATACATGAGGTTGACCTGATAAGATTCAATGATCTTTTCTCAAAAAAAAAACAATGCCATTTTCCAATAACTTCCAGGGAAGAAATTCATCGCCGTCATCATAAATCAAAAAACTAATAATACACAGAAATTCTCTTTTGACAATCGCCTATTTATTCACAAGTTATTTTGATTTATGTCAAAACATGTCGAAGTTGTTGCTTGACATTTGTAAAATTCAATGTAGCTCATGGTATTTTTGATACCTGCCTCAAGACGATTACGAGCATGGTCGATTGTCAAAGAGATATTTGATATTAATTCGTCATCAGATAGGACGTCTTTCAGTTAGTTTATTTTTGGACTTTCCATATCTTGCATTTCACTTGATGGTTGCCAAAGGATTTCAAAATATTTTCTGATAGTTTCGTCACGTCGACGTTACTACACTTCTGGATTTGTTAAAACAAGAAGGAGAATCCATTACAAATATTTTTGATGAAAATTTTACGAGTATTTATGATCATGATAGTGAATTGATAAATTTGGAATTGATAAGAAATCTAGCATTCTCATGACATTTTCATGGTATTCATGAACTTGAATATAGGCTTAGAGAGAACCTTGAAGCTATTCTACCTCATCTCTTCACTTTATGTGCACGTAATCAACGTTTCATAATCTCTAAGCTTCGAGCAATTTCCTGAAATTTGGAAATTGCGTTGTAACAATTGATGAAAGAAAAGATGAAATGGTAATTTTCATTCGATTAGCATGCTTCCTAAGATTCCTTTTTTTTTCAATATCATTTTGGCACTGTAAAAAGCTAATTTCATCGGAAAATAACATAGATTATCGGCAGAAAAATCGAAATTCACAAACATGATGGTTGTAATTGGCTTCACAGAACAAATCTTTTCGCATTTTTGTAAAGCTTCTATAGAGTTAACTATAACCTCCTAATAACTTATTTGACTGGGCTTTTCTAACCTCTGATTGTTTGAATAAGAGAATATATCAAACAGGTTCCAAATAGTACATATAGAAAATTTCAAATCATATCAAGTTACATCTGGTGGGCCTCAGAGCAACCACATAAACAATGTTATTATATGTATATTTTCACCATTCTAGGCCTAACGGGATAGTTTGATGAGAAACTGGCATTCAATGTTCCTATTTATAATTCTGCCAATAAGGCTCTGAAGGGTTTTATACTTGATGCTACCAAGCTCATCTTATGTAAGATTTGTGCTAGGATATGCTTTGCCTGGTTAACTGCCTCTAATATTTCCTCAAATGATATAGAGGAAATGCAGAACAAGTTGCTTAAATATGCAGCCTTCGAATTCATTTTCTGTGGTGAATAGGAATATTCAAATATCTTCTTTATTTTGAATAATAGAACTCTTTCCATTAGAAGAATGAATACTATACTTATTACCTTCTTCAAAAGTATTTCGCGTGAAATCAATCGCAACAGAACGTTTTTCTCAGTCCAACATACTATAATTGGTTCTGGGATCTACCGAATTATAATAGTCCATTTTTATATGTCCAAATCTAAAGTTGATTGGATTTGATCAATTAATTTCTGCGGTTTCATAAGAAAAAAACCATTGCACACGGCATTCCTCAAGAAAGTTGAAGACTTCGGCTTATCCAAGAAACTGTCTTCTGTTCTCATCAGGTCAACTGGATTGAAGTCGAAAGCTGAAAGATTCTTTGAGGCCGGCCAGAATAATGTCTTCGACACCTTGGTCAAGTGATCGGTATAAATATTACTAACAGTAGATGCAGGGCCTGTCGTTAAGCATTTGAGCATTTACTGTTAACATGTCCAACATATGCCTATATGCATTCTTAACCTATACACACCAGTATTGGCTTAAGGGTAAATATAGAAGTACTCACTCTCCACTCTCAGACAGATACAAGCTGATGTAGTCCTCCTCGACTATCAAAGTAAGACGATATCCGTCTTGAAGTTTTCAGCTACGGGTGAAGCGAATGTCATCAAAAAATGAAAAAAGCTGATAAAATATCGAAATTTACTATTCGAACATCGCAGACTTCATCCAGACTACTCTGGTTTTTATGATTATTGGAGTTCTTCTCTCCATACTCTCGAACTTCAAAACTGCCACACTACTGGAAACATATTGGCCTGACAATCACAGGAGGCTGTTATTCTTGCCTTATGCTTCTTTTCAGAGTATACGATTCTCAGACCCAATGGTCTTTTACCTCACGGTGTGAGGCACGCCGACCGTTGGGTTGGAACTTTGGGGAAAGATCCATTATTCGAACCCTTCCTTGGGGTGAAATGCTTGTTATCGAAATTATGTCTTTTTTCATGTTCAGACACAAGATTACACCAATAATAACAATCAGTTGCATTTTTAAGGTACTTGAATTTTGGATTCCGCAATCTTTCACCCAATTCCAGAAAATAGTGATGCTTGCCGATAGGACAAAAGTGGAATTTGTGGGAAAAATATTACTTTCTTCATCAACTCATGAGATAATGTTCAGCAGCCGAAGCCTTGTGCAGAAGATGAATATTTATTAGTTTTTACCAAGCAGGCGACTTAGTGATTAATTTCAGTATATTGGCAATCTGCAGTACTACCCAGTTAATAAACAAGGATTTGCATCTGGGCAATCCACATGATCACTCGCTTGAAGTACTGCCATAGCTATCCCAGCACATCTATCCCAGCTTAATGCAACAAACAATTACCCAAAGAAACGAATAGAAAAGCACAGGAAATATTCTAAGGAACATATGAACTGCAGTTATGCATTTTCTTTAATAAGAATTTCCGCATCTATAACATTAAATGAACCTACATATATAATTTCAGCCTCCAAAAATATTGCCGTACAGCGGTACCGAGATTCAGTGATGAAAAGATAATGT